TATGTATCTTCTATTATGTTGATTTCATTTGTATATATTTAATCAAGGCCGAATGATTTTTTAATTATAAAAAGTAATTTTGAAGTTTAATATGAATGTATCTTTTGTTATGTTGATTTCATTTATATATATTTAATCAAGGCCAAATAATTTTTTTAATTATAAAAACTCTTGTTTAGTGACTTGTTAAGATCATTTGGCAAAATTGAATGGTCCATTGTTAGAAAAAAAAATAGTTTAATTTTGTTTTATTTTAACAAAATTGAAAGACTTTTATATTAAAAAAATGGTTTAGTAACTTTACTGTAATAAAAGATGAGTAATCATATATAAAATTAATTATATTTTCTATTTTTTAAAGAAAAAATCCCTTAGTCTTTTCCAACTTATTTATAATTAATAAATATCACTTCTCTTATATATACAAAAATGAAACTAATCTCCAACTTTTGACCTAATGGTTATTTTTCCATCTTCTATTTATGTGGCCATTAAGATAGCCAATTGCACATCAAATTCTTTAGCTTAGCTTCCATTAGTAAGACCTTTCTAATCATTGATTAGCTAATTACAGTTATGCATATATTAGTTATGAGGTAATTTATAGTCTCTAAATCTGAACACTAAATAATTAATGTTATTTGTTACAGTATATTAATAAAAGGGATATTACAAAATTTTCATTTTAACAAAATACATGACTTTTGATTAAAAAAAAAAGTTTTAAAAGTTTTAATAATTATGATTTGGAGTATTATTTTTTCGTTCAAAATCTTGATAAATAACAATACACCAAAAATATTATTGTAATCAGCATTTTTGACAAGCGTCAATTCAAGAAAATTATTAATATAAAGAAATACTTGAAAGTATTTTGAAAACTTACCTATTGGGAAAAAATGGTGTTTGATTGATAAAATAGAGAAATAAAGTTTTTAGTGATGAGATAAAAAGACACGCCCAAAATAGAGAAGCTATAATTTATTATTTAATAACTTATCAAATAAATTTGAATGTTATTAAGAATCTCTTACAGATCTGATTCGTTAAGACCTCTTGAGGTTTTTTAAAAATCTAGTTTTCGAATACGTGCAACGCACGTGTATTTCACATTAACTAATTTTTTTTTTATAAAAATAATACGAGTTATATGAATTTGAAAGGAAAGATTACTTTTTGTCTGATTTTAACTTCAGAGTCATTTCATTTTTGAATTTTATGTAAATAGTTAGTAAAAGAGTATATATATCTAGCTATATATATATATATATATATATATATA